AATTACTTTGAGGCTATATGTATAAAAGCATGAAAGACTTCTGTGTTTAGACTTGGGTCCCATCCCTAAAATATCTCATTATATGTGTGCAAAATGTCCCCCAAATTGGGGGGAGAAAACCTAGAAATCTGAAGCACTCCTGGACCCAAGCATTTTATATAAGGGATACTCAACTTGTGAACATAATAGACTTAATAGATTGTGGTAAGGTTCGGATTATCCTGAAATTCTAATGGTTTAAAACTTTTTTAATGTTATGCCACATGTCTAGAATGCTAGGAAAGGGAACATTCATTATATGCTAGCTAGCCATTCAGGGGCTCAGAAAAATGATATGGTCACTAGCTTCTGGCTGTGTCCATCTGCAACAGGTGGCTTCCTTGCTCACTAAGTGAAATGTAGAAAGCTGTTGAATTTCATCTGTTGGCTTGGAAGTGATATTTCCACCTGCAGCCCATTGAGAACTAGTCCTGTGACCCCACCCTAACCTTAAGAGGGCATGGATATGTGGGGAACAGATAGAATGTTGGGTGAGAAAATTTCTTCTTCAGCAAATATTTATTGAATGCTTACTGTGTATCAGGTACACTTCTAGGTCCTGGAAATTAGAAAAATAAAAGAAGGAAAGAAACTCCTCAAGGAATTTATAATCTATATTTTGTTAACATTTATAGTCAGTTTTGCATGTTCCTTAGGGGCAACTGTTATTATCATATTATCCCCACATATACTAACAAAACACAATACATATTAACAGCGATTCAGTAGATAAGTCTAAATAGATACAACTGTTTAATGACTTCTTATGCAGGTGCCCTTGTTTTTAAATTACATGCAAAAATACTCATAACATAAATTCCTTAGCTTAGCCATAGTTTTAAATGTACAGTCAGCCCTCTGCTTGCTGTCTATAGAGGCAAATACTGAATTTAAAGAATTAAGTATGAAGAGAAAAAAAAAGCATTTTGTTCATGGTTCAATCCGTAAGGATTATAAACTCTTTGAGAATAGGACCACTTTCTGTTTGGAAGAATATAAACATCATAGTTTTAATACAGTATTATGAAGCTAAATCTCAGCAGTGTAGATCCCTAATGAATTCAAATAAACATTCTTTAGTTCATTATATACTTATTAAAGTTCTATGATGTGACAGGCAGTGTATGACGCTATAAGGATGGATATGATGTTTATATTTACAGAAAATCTATAATCTCCTATACAAGTAAACTAGAGTTTATTCTGGGCTCAAAATTATTTTGTATATGTGTGTTTATTTTTCTCTACTAAATAATTTTATTCACTTGAATTAGCCCATAATGGAGAACAGGAGAGAAAAAAGGTTGAAAACAATTGTTCTTTTCAACCTTTTTGAGTGCATGAATCCCACGTAGAACATACATTAAAGAAGAGTCACCTGCTATCTTCTTACATACTACCTGTAGAATCCATTTATTTTATTTTCAGCTAATTTTAATAATTAAAAAACACTTGTCTATGGCCATCCCACCTTGAACACACCCGATCTTGTCTAATTAAAAAACACTTCCTTATATTTATCCAAAAATCAAAACTTCTATTTCTGGGACTGTATATAGTAATTCCTAACATTCTTCCTGTATTCACCCTTAAAATAGTTTATGGAAGTTATCAGGTTGTCCCTAATCTTATCTCCAGTCTCTTATAACACATAATTTCAAACTGCCTTGACATTTGATCACTTTCCTTTTGGAATCTTCCTGTTTGCAGTACACCTTTAATTGCTGTTGTATTAGAATGGCTAGAACAAAATTGCGTGAGTTAATGCAGTAGAATTATTTGAGATTGTACGTTTGTTGGGGGAGTAATGCCTCCTGGAAGGGGTGTATTATAACTATAATTTGAAAGTACAATTAAGACAAGAAGAAAATGTAAAGCATGAAGAACATTTAAGTAAATGCTTTAAAATGGAGCAAATAGAAGATAGGATTTTTTTTTTTTTTGCCTTGAATAAACAGTGAATGAGACTAGGGAATGTATAACAACTCTTGGATTAGCTGGAGTTGGCTAAGGTGTTTAGGTGCATTGTAGCCTTCAGATAAGTGTGATTTTTTTGTATCAAATGAATGTTTCACAGAAGATTTTTAATGGAATTATGTGCTCTAGAAAGTGGAAAAACATTAATAGAAAAATGGTCAAGTTTGACAGGGCCACTTAGGAAAAAAGTTGCTGTTACCTAGCAATAGGTCTTTACATTGAGTTGAGAGAAATGCAGATAAGGGACATGTATGAACAAGAAAATACAGGATTTGATAGGAGGCATTTTGATGAAATATGCAGCAAAAAAAAATCATCTTTACTCTGTGGAAGAGAACAGGATTCTAGTCAAAATGATGAAGTAATAATAAAAATAACTAGCACATTCAAGGCCTAACTGTATACAAGACATCATTCTTAGCGTTTCCCAAATATTAATACATTTAATCTTCACAACAGTCCTATGAGTTAGGTAATTTTATTATTCCCATTTTATGTATTAGAAAACTGACCCATAACCAAGTGAAGTAATTTGTTGAATGTCGCAGAGCTGGGATCTTCATCTAAGTAGTCTGGCTCCCAAATCTGTTCTCTGTGGTGGTACACATCTGTAATACTAGCATTTAGGAGGCTGAGGCAGGAGGATTATGAGTTCTAGCCCAGTCTGGACTACATAATGAGATCCTGTCTCAAAAACAAAAACTATCCTCTTAATATATCTCACTGTACTATACATGATGATTGGTTTCAATCTTACCTTCTTTCAACTCTCATAAATAACTAATCTCTGCCCTTCTTTTTTTGCATGTTGCCACATTTCCTACTTCCCCTCAAGGAGCCAATGCCTTCCTGGCCTTTTTTCTTCCCTACTATTAAAACCTACTCTGTGGAAAGAAGCTAATAAGCTCATTCATTCATTCACACCAAGGTATAAATAACTGATATGACTTACTATAAAATAATACTCCTCTAGGGTTACATTTTTAAGGGGGTGGGAAGTGTTGACTGAGCATAAAACTTTAAAACCCTATTGAATTTTAAGTTTAATTTATGTATATATGAGCATGGGAGGATAAATAAGTTGAATGCATGATCATATGTGTACTTCAAATTACACCAGTGTTTAGCTGGTCCAAGACTTGTGGGAGCCCTTATAGTAGAAATGAATTAGGAGCATTAAAATGGGAATGGAAAGACAAAGAGAAACATCTTTACTATATTGATTCAATGATTTTAGGACTATCCTGTTATTTCTCAAATTCATTATCAAATAGAAGAGTTCTAATATGATCCCAAGAGACATAGATCCCAAGAAGAAGCTTTAACTTGGATATAGTCATAAATGAAATGAGATAATTCCATTCTAAGATTTAAGTGTTCGTGTATTTACTTCTGATCTGGGTATTGTCAAAGAAATAAAGGATTATTCCTTTATTTCCTACAGAAATGATGCTCTGTGAGTTATTTATCTGTGCTAGGAATCTTAACAGTCTGAGAACGTTACCTTCATGCTATTCTTAATATTCTTATTTTACATCAGTCAGATCATGTCTTCCACATTTCTTTCTCATGTATTCAATGTAGTTAGGTTCAGTAAATACTTATTGAATGTCTACTCGATGTAAGATTCTTGCTCTGGGCATACATGTGTTCCTATCTCAAATGCCCCATCTTGTACGAGAGACTATACTATTATATAATCATATAAGTGCTTATGTCCAGAAGTAGTACACAGGAGAGAATTGCTCTGCTGGAGAACATAAAGGAGATGTTGCTTAAATAAGGTTTTTAAGGATGAAAAGGAGTTTGTCAGAATTATGGTAAGGGAACAAAATACTTCAGCTAGAGGGCAAAGCAAATGCAAAGGCTTGTAATTGGAAGCTCAGTGTGGCCTGGTAGCTACAAGTGGTGATACTGTAGAATCTGAAGTTTAAGTCAAGGAGTGACTGTTTTGCTTTTTATCATTCTCAAGATCATCATATGCTTGGAGCACTGACTTATTTTATTTTCATATCATGATTACTTAAGGCCTAGTCTGTATTTTTGTTTTGTACTCTGCTAAAGTCTTACCTATGTATTACTCACCAAAGACTTTAGCTAATATTATCTTGACACCTGAGTGTTAGTGTAATGTGTGTCTCCAGCACTCAGTCTTCCAAGACAAGGTCTTTTTTTACTTTTTTTTTTATTTCTTTTATTCATATGTGCATACAATGATTGGGTCATTACTCCCCCCTTCCCCCCACCCCCTCCCTTTTACCCCGCCCCTCCCTCTCGCCTCTACCCCCTCACACCGTTTTGCCCTTATCTCTAATTTTGTTGACGAGAGAGTATAAACATTAATAAGGAGGACCAGGGGTTTTTGCTAGTTGAGGTAAGGACAGCTATATAGGGAGATTCCTAGTTTTGCTTCCATGTACATACGTGTTACTTTCTAAATTGATTCTTCGCGAACTAACCCAAGACAAAGTCTTCTTTAAGGGTAGTGGGAGGAGGTATGACAGGCTTTTGCTATATCTATACAGACATGTAAATTTTTGCATCAGATTTGAATATAGTAATGTTGAAAATCTAATGGAGTTAAGGGACTGATATGAAAACCAGCTAACTTTGTTAGTTGCAGTAATTTGCCATGACAATTCAGTTCAGCAAGTAAGGTTTTCTATTGTCTGTCCATGTAATAGTATGATATTTGATACTGAGAAAATACCATACAATGGAAGAAAACAGGAAGTGGAGGCTGCCTTTTCATATATGAGATGTAGAGATTACTTAAATTTATACTCATGCAGTTTCTGGACTTGGCTCTTTAGGGGAGAAAAATCATAGAGAAGTGTTCATTTAATTTATTCTGTTCATCACAATGTGAAAACTAAAGAAAATCTACTTGTGAAGTGAATATATTGCTTTAAAAAGGCAGTTACAGGAAAAATACTATCAAATCACACTGATTTTTGTGTTAATTTACTTCCTTCTTTTTTAAGGATGCCGGGCAGTTTTACACTAGATATAAAGAAACAAGACTAAAGGAAAAGGAGGATACATTGTCTAGAATTGAACATGAAACACTGCAAAGTGAGTTTAAATATTGTCTTACAATGTTAAAAATATCATATAAAGCTTATTATCTAAATTTGGACTTTTCTTTAATTCAGCAGTAATTGAGTTTTCTACGCTTTGCCGTTTCCAGTAGATAATGTATTATACATGGAAAATACTGTATTTACTGAACCACCCAAAGTCCGTATCAGAAGGAGAGATAAAGTCAACATGGGGTATTACAACTCCTCAAGAATGGAGTCATCCAAAACCTGCAACGTTCTGTTATATTTCACTATCATAATTGTAATTGATGTTTAGTGCCATGAATAACCAAATGCTATGTAACAGTACTGTAGGAATTGAGAAACCTGAAAATATCAATGATTTCTGTTTTGAAAGTCTTTGTTTCATTTGCAATATCATTATATAACATGAACAACCTTGAATAAATTATCAGTATATTGAAATGTTCCATTGATCACTAAAGATAGTTCTTGCTGATTTTAGAAGTTGAACATACTGTTAAAGAAAATCTTTTCCAAGCTCTGATCCTTTTGTCTAATTCTGTCTTATTTATATCTTTACTACACATATACACTCTGTCTCCTTACATTGCTTTCTTTTATTCAGAGCCTTTACTATTACTTAGAATGAATGTATTTATTAATCTTATTCATATCTGCTTTCCCTAATAGAATGTAAGCTCCATGAAAGTAAGGACTTTATCTGTTTTGTTCTGCTATGTCTCTGGGTTCTAGAGATGAGGGCACAGTTATTGTTGTGGACTGTTTTCTGTCTACCACAATCCTTCATGTGTCTGGGCAGCTCTAGAACAGGGACTATTTCCTTTTTTTCTTTGCAACTGCAGTATCAAATAGTGTCCTGGCACATAGTAAATGTTCAGTAAATCTTGAATGGGTGGAGATATAAATTAATATAATTCCATGAATACTAATGAATGTCATCTGAGCATCTGTCCTTATAGAACTCCATCTCAAGTTAGAGATAGAGCTAAAACTTTAATTCACAAAGTTTTAATAATTACAAACACAGATCAACTATATAATTCAGATTAGTTATATAATTATTTAAAGCAAACTTCTGTAAAGAAGGAAGAGTTAGGATAATGGAGACTTAACATATTGAGGTTGACAGATGTGTGTGTGTTGAAAAGCAGAAACGGGCAAATGAAACTCTAAATAAGTGTTTTAGGGGTATGAGAATTGAACTCAAGGTCTTGCACTTGCTAAGCAACTACTCTACTACTGAAATTACAGGCATAAGGTGCCACACCCAGCTAAATGTAATTTTTATATAATTGTTATTTTTTTAAGTAAATCGGTACATAAACATTTTTAAGTCTTTCAGATTAGTCAAAAGGAAAAATATCATACTTATAAGAAAAGAGGAAAAATATCAGACTAACCCAAAATATCGAGACAATGTAAACGCACTACATTTCATTGCTTTCATTCTTACGTAATTTTTAAAACTAGCCACTTAATTATTATAATTTCTACGTATGTGTTAGAATTGTCTAATATTAATGTTTTTAGTGTACATTTAATATTAATGACATCAGAAGCTGTCATGTATTTTTAAATGTAGACTCTGTTACATGCAAAATATCTTTTAATTAATTTTGTTAACTTCGTTACAGTGTTCTGTATTGTATACTATAGAATTAATACATAAAAGCCCCTGACTCCTCTAGTGTGCATTTCGTTTACCCCATCCTTCTTCATTTAAAGATCATCATTGGAAAACTGAGTTCATAATAACATTTCCATTACTTACTTAAGTAAATGCATCTCATGCACATTAGTGTTAGCTGTTCCATGATCTCATGTCTCCCTGCTTTATTGCTTAGGTGGTATAACATACCCAGAGAGCTACACCAGAACTACTTTGAATAGGTTGTGGAGATCTTACTTAAATGGTATTTTAGAAAAGGAAAAAAGTATGCAAAAGATAATTTCTTTAAAATACATATCTTTCTTTAGAAGTCTTTATGTAAAAAAAAATTGTTGATCTGGATTTGGAAGAACTTGGGCACTGAGTTGTTATAACCCTCTGACTAATTTTACAGTTTAGAAGGTTGAGCACAGTGCTCACCTGTAATCCCAGCTACGCAGGAGGCAGAGATTAGGAGGACTGAGATTCAAGGCCAGTCCTGGCAAAAAGTTAGTGAGACCCCATCCTAGCAAGTAAGTTGTGACCTCAGCTGTGTGATGTGTAGGAGGGTTGTGGTCTGAGGCCAGCCCCAGGTAAAAGCACAAGACCCTACCTGAAAAATAACAAAAAGTGAAAAAGGGCTGGGGGCGTGTCTCATATGGTAGACTGCCTGCCTTGCAAGAGTGTGGCCCTTAGTTCAACCCTTCCCCCAAAAAATATGATGTAAGTTTAAATAAGTTAATATGTAAATACAAGGTGTTTTGGGTTTTATCCTAATTTAATTGAGAATTTTATCCTGTCACTTTTTAAAAAAAATTTTACAGTGCTAGGGATGGAACTCAGGGACTTATACATGCTAGGCAAGCACTCTACCACTGAGCTATGCTCCCAGCTCCATCCTAAGTCAATGGAAGTGAATTTTAAAAACTTGTAATGGAATAGCCCAGGTCATGAAGGAAAACTCACTATTCTTTAAAAGTATTTTTTAAATTCACAAGTAAAATTACACATACTTATGGGATACCATGTGATATTTTGATGGATGTATACATTGTTTAGCATTTAAATCAGACTGAATGTATCTTTTTCCTCGAACATTTATTATTTCTTTGTGGTATTGACATTCAAAATCTTTTCATCGAGGATTTTTAAAAAGGGTATGTTAGTAGCAAATGGAAAATTAATGTTTTGACCTATTTTAAAGAGATATTGTTTGAAAAGATCATAGTTTGAATAGACAAAGAGAAAAGAAAGATTAGAAGTAAAACTTAGTATTTCCATGACCCTTTTCTATATACTTTATAAGGTTTTTAAAAAAAACAAAATCAAATTAGCAAACCCTCCTGCCAAGTGCTTCTTCATTATGTGCAGAAATAATAATTTCAGATGTTAGCCATGTTTTATTTCTTTTTTTGTGGGCCTCATTGCATACTCTGCTGGTGGACCTAAGTTGGGGTCCCAAGAGGATACAAAGTAATGACAGTGTGGACAGAGAATACGCTTTTTTAATGTGTTGAAAGGAGAGGACATTCACCTTCCTTAAGGTAAAGGAAGATTGGTTTCTAGAAAACTGCATCACAAACAAAGGGATATTGGTTCTGATTTTTGAAGTTGATCCTGTGGTTGGTGTAAGGGAAAAAGGAGTTTGGAGAGGAATAGCTCCAACTTAATTTAGAATGTTTGGCCTTTGGTAATATAGGGTGCTCATGGATAACAGAATGCTCTAGTCCAAATCTAAGCTTGAATATGTTTCTCTCTCCTTTTAAATTTAAAAATTACCAATAAAACTTCCTTAATAACTACAAGATTATTCAAGAATCTATTTCATGGATGAGATAGGATAGTTTGCGTTTTTGAATGATTTTTTTATTCCATCCAAATTATCAAATTTATGTGTCTAGGGTTGGTCTTAATATTCACTTATCCTTTCAATGTCTGCATGACCTGTAATGATTCCCCCTTTCGGTACTAATATTGGAATTTTTGTTGTCTCCTTTTTTCTTTCAGTTTTGTCAGATGTTTATAAATTTTACTGATATTTACAAAGAATTCTCTTTTCATTGATTATTATTTTTGTTTTCAATTTCACTTATTACTTCCTTCCTTCTGCTTGCTTTCATCTTCTTTTTCTAGTTTTTTCTTGCTCCAGAGTCTACTTTATATTAATATACCTATACCTCCTTGATTACTGATTGCATACCATATCAATTGTTTTACTTTCAACCTACACATATTATTAAATTTGAAATGAGTTTTTTGTAGTTAGCATATACATAAGTCTTTATCTTTCATCTACTCTACCAATCTGTCTTTCACTTGGTATCATTAGACCATTTACATTTAATGTAATTTTTGATAGATTAGAGCTTAAAATATGCATATTATGTTTTATATTCTGTCTGTTTTCTCTAGTTTGTCATTTCTCTGTTTTCTTCCTACCTTCCTGTAGGTTGTGTGAACAATTTTTAGAATTCCATTTGATTTTATTTGGTTTTTTATAATTGGGTATGGTTTTTTTTAATTGGGTATGATAGTATGATAGGTATTATATGTACATGACGTATAATCTACTGGTGTCAATGTTTGTTATCCCATGTGACATACAAAAACTTTACCTCTCTTTACATTTCTATTTTATATAAGTGTTGTAAATATTTCTTCTGTATTCATAGAATGTTACAATTTTGATTTAGCAATTAAGCAGAATTAGAAAATTCAAGAGGAGCCAGGTAACAGTGGCTCACACCTGTAATCCTAGCTACTTAGGAGGCAGAGATCAGGAGGATCTCAGTTCAAAGCCAGCCTGGGCAAATAGTTCTTGAGACCCTATCTTGAAAAAAACCCTTCACAAAAATAGGGCTGGTAGATTGGCTAAGGGTGTAGGCCCTGAGTTCAAACCCCAGTACCACACACATACAAAAAAGAAAACTCAAGAGGAAAAAGATCTTTGATCTTTACCCATATTTTTACTTTGCCTCTTATTCTTTCTCCTTTCTTGATTTTCAAGGATACTCTATGATTTGCTTTCTGTTTAGGATGTTTCATTACCCTTTTATAGAAAGAGTTACTAGTTTCGAATTCTTAGGATATTTTTCCTTCATATAAGTATGTCTTGGTTTATTACTGAAAGATATACTGAATATAGAGTTCTGGGTTGACAATTCTTGTCTTTCATCTTTTGAAAAATATTGAGCCACTGTCTTCCGGCCTCCATGGTCTTTGATGAGAAATCTACTGCCTTTGTATTATATTTACACTACAGGTAAGGTATTATTTTTCTCTTGTTGCTTCCTATCAAGATACTTTTCTTTGTCCTTATTTTTGAAGACTTTGACTGTGATGTATTTTGGCATGGATTTTCTTATTTTAATTTTGTTTTGGGTTCGCTGATCTTTTTAAATCTATAGGCTTAAAGGTTTTGCCAACTTGGCCAAGTTTTCAATCTTGATTTCTTTGAATACTCTTTCACCTCTCCTTTTTTCCCTCTGTGCAACTTCAGTGACATGAAAGTTGCATATATTTTTAGAATACAAAAATCTCCATGGCTCTTTTTGTTATTCTCATGTTTTTAAACCTATTTTTTTCAATTTTTCACATTGGGCAATTTCTGGATTTCTATCTTCACATTTACTGATTATTTTCTCTGCTCCATTCTGCTGTTCAGATCATCCATTAAGTTTTAAATTTCAGTTAGTGTATTTTTCAGTTCAGATATTTCTGTTTGGTTCTTCTGTATGTCTTCTCTTTCTTTGCTGAGACTTTTTATTTCTTTGTTTCAAGACTATTTGTTATTGCTTGTCAAATCATTATTATGTGGCTGCTTTAAAATCCTAGTCAGAGGGCCAAGCATGGTACTCATGCCTGTAATCCCAGCTTCTCAAAAGATTGGGAGGACTATGGTATGAGGCCAGCTGGGGACTGAAATTCCATCTCAGTCCTTAATCTGGGATTGGTGGTGTACAACTGCTGTCCTAGCTAGACAGGAGTCATAGGTAGGAGGACAGCAGTATAAGACCAGCCCTAGCAAAAACTTGATAACCTATCCAAAAAAAAAAGGGTGACTCAAGTGGTAGAGCATCTTCCTAGCAAAGAGGCCTTGGCTTCAAACCTCAGTACTGGCAAATAAACATTTTAAAATCTTAGCCAAATAATTCAGATATCTGTTTCATCTTGTTGTTGGTTATCGATTATCTTTTCTTATTAAATTTGTATTATTACAGACTTAGACATTTGTGCTTTTATGTTTTTATTCTTTGAATCTTATTTAAGTCTTCTGCTTTACATAGTCTTCTATATCAATCAAAAGAGAAGACTGCTTCCCTGTTACTGCCAGATAGGGATAGAAGTTCATGTTACCTATGAGGCCTGTTTTACAGCTGAGGTAGAGGGTGGTTGTGGATCCTCAGGAGAGTGTGGGTGTCCTGCTTGCCACTAGGTTCCCACTGAAAGTACCCTAGCTAGGAGGAGGAATGGGAATGCCTACGCCTAGCTAAGCAGGAGCTGTTCTCACTGGCCTCTACTGATACTCTATGAGATGGCACTCCCAGAGTGGACACTGAGCAGTTGTGGAAGCCTTGATTTTTCCGTGAGGCATCCTCTGAAGCCACTTTGTCAAGGAAAGGCGGGGATACCTTATTACACTTGTTGGATGTGTAAATCCAGCCTACCTGCGTGGTCTCCACTGATTTCATAGAGGGAGTGGGAATCATCATTACCTCTCAGCTTTCTTCCTTACACTACTCTGGAAGGCTGGATGGTGGATACAAGGCTGACAAGGGCAGAAAAGTGGGCTCCACATTAGCAGAAGGGGCATGGGAAAAGGTGTGGCTACAGTTTTTTGTTTTTTTTTCCTGACTTACTTTCCTAAAACAGAGTGGTTATTGTCTGAACATTTTCCCAAGAGAAATTCCCTGTTAAAAAGGATAATATGTTTAAGATGTTGTGACTTTGCTTAATTTAAACTCTGTTCTGCTGTTTTCAATACCATCAAGATACAAAATGTTAAGACCTAAGAAGTAGCCTTAGGTTCGTGGCCATAGAGCCCAAATCACTATTTGGCAAATGTGTCTTAGCATAATAAACACTTTTGTACTTTCAGTCAGAAAATACTTGATCAAAGTAACTAGTTCATAAAACAAGTACATATTAATAAGATAGACTACTTATACCAGAATAGTTTTTTGCTTATATGTTTGTCTTATGGGACTGGATATTGAACGCAGGGCCTCATGTATGTTAGGCTAAGTGCTGTACCACTGAGCCACATTCCCAGCCCCAGAATGTTGTGGTGGTTTTGTTTTTGTTTTTTTATGGCCCCAAACTTCTTGCTGTTTTGTTTAGAAAGGACATTAAACCGAAGTAGTTGCTTTAGTTTAATGTCATCAAATGATATTTGTCTCATTTGTCATTCCTTTGGTAATTTTACTGTAAGAATAAATTTTTCTGAGAGGAAACCATTTCTCTTCATTCACTAGGCAATGAATCATGCATTTTACTTTGACTTTGTTGGTTTGTTTTCTGTGGGTTTTGCTTGGCTTTTGTTTGTTTGCTTGACTGGATGATTTTTGTTTTGTATGTTGTCTTTGTCAGGCTTAATTATCAATAAGGAATCAGTCTACCTTAACTAGAGACCAAAATTTGTGAAGCTTTAATCAGATTTCCCCCAACTTAATGATACTGTATATTTTATTTAACTTAGAATTTTCCATATAAGCCTAATCATGCTGCTAAAAAAAATTTAGATTTTTTTTAAAATGAAGTACAATAATGACATTTTCATTACCTCCAAAATTCATCATGCTTTTCATACTAATTATATGAGTTTTATTGAAGCTGTAAGATTGGAGGAAAGATGAGTATAGGCTACCCTCAAACTCATGATCCTCCTGCCTCAGCCTCCTAAGTGCTGGGATTACGGGTTTGTACTACTACACCCAACTGAAAACACTTGTGTTTTTTTAATATGTGAGATTTTATCAAATGCAAAATGTTAGATGGTATAAACGTAGCCTTGAATTATTAAAATGTAATGAATATTTCCTAAGCTATTAGTTTGTTAGTTTTAGATATCTGAATTTTCAGATTATGTTGTATAGTCTTTTTAGATTTTATTTTTACATTTATGCCTATAATTTTAAAGAAATACATAAATATGAATTCATATATACTTTTTTTTTTTTGCAGTGATGTTCCTTCTCTTTTCCTTTATTGTTTGACTCATCACCCCTCTCTCCATATGTCCCCCCACATACCTTGGTGTATTCATCCATATTTTTCTGTATGCTTATATAACAATATTCAGATTTATTTACATGAATATAAATACACATACATGTATAGTAATTTGGAGAAGCATTATTTTGCTTTAAAATATGGGAACATACACGCTTCTTATCTTAATTTTGTTACAGAAACTCAGAAATATCCACTAAGTCAATTATTATACCTCTATTTCAGTGGTGATTTAATATTTCTGTCTGTGACTACATCATCAATAAGTGTTCAATCATTCCTGCTAAGAATTTACTGTTACTAGCTTTGTATCTTATAAAGACATGCTAAGTAGCTATATATACTCATAAACAAAACCTATTCATATATATGCTGTACAATTAAATTCTAATGCTTTTGTTGCTAGGGAAAGTTTATAAATTTTAATTGTAATAAATCTTCTTAGATTGCTTTCCCACAAGGTTACAATGGAAATAATTCACATACTCACCACCAATTTAGAGATAGCCTTTTCCCTGCCAAGTACATGTCATTAGATTTTAAATTTTTCTACCCATATGAAAGATTTAAAATCATATCTTGGTATTACTTGAATTAGCATTTCTTTAACCTTTAGAGAGAATTAGCATTTTTTCTTATTTCTTGGCCATGTTGATGTGTTCAGTTGTAGATTACCTATTCATGACCTTTACCTAATTTTTCTACTGTTCCCTGTCCCCTTATCAATTTGTAAAATCTCTTTATAAAATCTTTGTGTCAATCTTCTGTTTGTCCTCTGAATCACAGATATTCTTTTCAGACCTATTATTTGTCTCTTAATATGTTTATTATATCATTTTTAAAAATAGAATCTGGGTGTTTAGTCTTAGTTAAATTATCCCTTCCTTTAAATAACACAGGGAATTTTTTCACTTTCTTTTTGTAAGATTTTTATTGTTCTGCTTTTTAGAATCTCCTCTCGTATCCAGCTGGAATTTATTTTTGTATATGGTAATAATAGTGTGTCCAGTTTTTTTCCACATGGCTGTTCAATGTTGCCAGCATTAGTTGTTAAATTCTCTTCCCACTGAATTTATACATTTATGGATTCTCTATTCTCTTCTAGAAATTTGTCTGTATTGATTTTATGACATTTGCATTACAGTACGTGCAAACATACAAACACTGGGTGGTAAAAACAGGGTTTTAAGGCTGGGTGCGTTTTGTGATAGTAGTGAAGAATGGAGAGCCCATTTGGGAGCCATCTAGTCATGCACTGCTTAATGATAGGAACATACTATGAGAAATGCAACCTTAGTCAATTTCATCACTGTGCGAACATCGTAGAGTGTGCCTACGCAAACAAAGATGGCTGTGATGTCACTAGGCGACTTCATCTTACGGGACCACCATTAAGAATGCATGCATTGACGGAAACATTATGCAGCAAATGACGATTGATAACTACTGATGTTCCCATGTTACACTTGTCTTTGTAAAACACTGAAAAGATAAATGTATGTCATGTACTGAGCGCCAGTTTTTTACAGATAAGAAAATGGACACTTGTAAGTGTCGCTTGCCCAATATTATATAGCTAATATGTGTTAAAGGTCAGATTAAGACTAAATTTAGCTCCTTCCATTGTGCCAAGATGAAATGTTTTCATAAACAGTACTTTGAAAACTAAGTCATTACAGTGATTATGTCATAATTACCATGTCAGCAGCATCTCTGAGATTTAAAATAATATAATGGTTAACATACAGTAAAACTTGAGTTATTTATAATAGCAATTCTGTTTTGATCAAAGAATATTATTTATGGGTTCTTTCAAGATATGGTGTATGAATAAAATAATATTTAAGATTCTCTTTATTCTTAACAAATCTCAATAATTGATTCTTTTAAACATTTTTTTAGAACAGAAGAAAGTTAAAGTTAAAAAACCAAAACCTGAATTTCCTGTATACACACCTTTAGAAAGTGCATATATTCAGTCTTATGATCATGGAACTTCAATAGAAGAAATCGAGGAGCAAATGGATGATTGGCTGGAAAACAGAAACAGAACACAGAAAAAACAGGTAAATAAAGTTTAAAAAAAATTTTTTTTTAATTTTTGCAAGACTGGAGATAAAACCCCAGGCTTTGCACCTGCTAGGCAAGAGCTCTACCACTGAGCTACATCCCCAGCCCTTGATCTTTTGGGACTGGGTCTTGCTGTGTAGCATAGGACTGCTGAAACTCTTTGTTACCCAGCCTGACCTCAAATTTAGGATCCTCTTCCCACCACCTCCCAAATGCTAGGATTACAAGTATGTACCACCATGCCTGGCATAAGTAAACTCTTAAAAATTTGTTGTAATTGAGTACAATGCATGCAGAAATGTACATTCAATGCAGTTAATAGCTCAGTGACCTATCCTAAGATGAACCAAGTTAGCCATTGCTAAGATCAAGAAATAAAACACGACCCATGTACAGAGGCCTCCCCTGTCCTTCCTCCTAGTTGCTACCTTCCTTTTCCTTCACAAAAGATAGTGACTATCCTAATTTCTAATGCCATAGGTACTCTTGCCTGCTTTGTGACACTGATAAGTGGAATCATCCTATATGTACTCCTTTGCATCTGATTTCCTGTATTTGACATAATTTTGAGCTTTTTACACGACTGCATGCACCAGTAGTTTATTTTTGCTGCTGTATATATAGTACTCCATTTGTAAATATAGCAGTTTATTTTTGTTGGAGAAATGTGACATTTCTAGTTTTTATTATGGTAATTTTCCTGTGAACATGCCTCTACAAGTATTTTAGTTCATATATGTATAAATTTTTATTTTGGGATTTAAGTTGCAGGCCATAGCTCATCAGTAATATTTCTAAGCCACTTTTAAAAATATCAACTTAGGGCTGGATGCAGTAGTTCATAACTGTAATCTAGCTACTCAGAAGGTGGGATTAGGAGATGGTTGCTCAAGGCCATCTCAGGCAAAAATATAGTGAGATCCCATCTCAGCTAATAATCTAGGCATAGTGAAGTGTGCCTGTGATCCCACCTACATGGGAGGTCATAAGAGGGAGGATTGCTATCTGAGGCCAACGCCGGGCAAAAACAGGAGAACCTACCTGAAAAATAACTAAAGCAAAGAAGTGCTGGAGGTGTGGATCAAGTAGTAAAGCACCTGCCTAACAAGTGCAAGGCCCTAAGTTCAAACCCCAGTACCACCAAAGAAAAAAATTAATTTATGCTTCAGCAGCAGTATATGAAAATTCCAGTTATTCTTCATCCTTTTCAGTACTCAATTAAATCTTCTATATTTTAGCCATTCTGATAGGTGTATAGTGATACCTAGTTATGATTTAATTTGCATATACTTTGGTGAATAAAATTGAGCACCTTTTCTTATGCTTGCTGGGAAGTACCTTTCCAAGTCTTTTTTATGTATTTGATCACCTATCTTTTTTGATACTGATTTGTAAAGAGCTCTTCATTTATTTCAGAAATGAGTCTTTAGCATATATTTATCTTCCCATTCTGGCTTGCTTTTCACTGTCTTAATTGTGTATTTTAGTGATCAGAAGGTATTAATTTTCATTAGCTGTTCCCTTATTTGATGTTTTTTGTGTCTTTTACTGAAATCTTCGTCAAAGTCATAATGATATTTCCAAATCTTTCTAGAAGTTTTAATATTCTAATTCATCATTTGGATTAACATCCCCTTGGGATTTATTTTTATATTTGGCTTTAAGCAGTGATCAAGTTTAACTTGTTTTCAAAAATTTTCTAAATCAATTGAGTTAGTATCAGCTCATGAAAACACTGCTTTGCAGGGCACCGGTGGCTCACGCCTGTAATCCTAGCTACTCAGGAGGCAGAGAGCAGGAGAGTTGTAGTTCACAGCCAGCCCAGGCAAATAATTCACGAGATCCTATCTTGAAAAAACCCTTCACAAAAAAGGGCTGATGGAGTGGCTCAAGGTGTAGGCCCTGAGTTTAAGCCCCAGTACTGCACAAAAAGAAAACACTGCTTCCTTCAGCTCTCCATGTCACCTTTATCATAACCCAAGTGCTTTAAGTTTGTTTTCACACATTGGACTTTATTTCATTATCTACTTGTCCTTGTGACAATCCTAAAGAGTCTTCTTTTTTTTTTTTTTTCCTTTCCCGTACTGGGGATTGAACCAATGCTTTGTAAGCGTTCTACTACTTGAGCCATGCCCAGTCCTTTTGTTTGCATTTTGTTTTTGAGATACGGTCTCACCAACTTGGCCCAGGCTGGCCTTGAACTCACAGTCCTCCAGGTCATAAGGAGCTGGGATTACCAGCACAGTCTCAATTACTGTAGCTTTATAGTAAGCATCTGATGCAGTAACTTTCCAGGTTTATTTTCCTGCTTTAATTTTGATAGTTTATATTTTTCATGAAAATTTTAAAAGCAGTTTGTCATTTTCCACACTCAGTGAAGGTATTTGAATGGGAAAACAATGAATATATAAATGAATGTAAAAGTAAATGAATATGTAAATTATTTGTGGAGTAGTTGTCATCTAAATGCTACTGACTGTATGACCTATGAGTAAATTCATTCACTTCTTTTAAAGCTTTTTTTAAATATGTGTTGCAGGTTTCACTTTCTAATTAAGTTTAGTATATGCTCAGTATACAAGTACAATTGGTTTTTGTATAATAACCTTGTATCTAGTTGCTTTCCTAAATTTACTTTTCAATTCTAGTGGTTTCTCTGCATGTTACACATTTTCTCACTTTGTGATGATTAGAATCTCCAATACAATGTAGAAGTGGTCTAGCAATTATCCTTACTTCATTCTCAATCTTAAAAATTCTTACGAAAAAATTTATCATTGAAATTATTTATTAAACTTTTATCATTTCACTATTAAGTATATACTATAAACATTTTATGAAATTTTTATTGAAATATTCTTCACTGAATGTAAAATTCACTATTTAAAACTATAAACATCAGTGTTTTTAGTCTGCTCACTGTGTTGTACAACAATCATCACCAAATCATTTTCATCTCACCAATAAAACCAAGTACTTGTACTTGTTAGTGCATAGTTCCAGTTCTCTGCTCCCCTTTCTCTTGGGGACTACTAGTCTACCTGTCTCTGTAAATTTGCCTATTCTGGGTATTTTATATACTTGGAGTCAGGTTTTTTAAATTTAACATAGTGAGGGGCAGAGTGGCTCAAGTGGTAGAGTACTTGCCTACAAAGGACAAGGCCTGAGTTCAAACCCCAGTTCCGCCAAAAATAAATAAATAAATAAACAGAATTTCGCATAATATTTTTAAGATTTAATTCATATTATAGCATATAACAATACTTCATTCTTTTGTGGGTGAATAATATCTCCATTTTATGGACATAACATTGATTCTTTATCCATTTATCAGCTAATGGAAAATTCTGATTTTGGCTAGGATAAATAAAGGTGCAATGAACATGAACGTATAAGTCTTTCAATATATGTTTTATGATTTCTCTAGAGATTACAGTTAGCATCTTATTATATAACAACCTAGTTAGGATTAATGCAAGTTTAGTTTTAGTAGTGTACAAACACTTTGTTCCTATGCAGATCTCTTACATTTCCCTTTATGACTGTTATTGAAACTGGAAGCCAGAGTGAAAATCAGGGGTCAGACTCAGGCTTTTATAGCAACTTGCTTTGGACAGCTTACTTCAGGCGACTGGGATTCCCTTTCAAGGTCAGTGACATAAGGACTTCTTACCAAGCTCTGCCTCTTAAAGATTCTATCAGCAACAACACTGCCACACTTACCAAGATCCCAGCACAGGAACCATAGGGGACAAACAACACCCAAGTATTTAAATAAGTGATATTCTTTTGAAAGTTGTGTAGCTATGAGTTCAGTATTTTATATAGGACAAAATTATTATGTTTTTTATTATTTTTATTATTAGGCTTTGATCATTTGTTTAATCAGTTTCACCAAGAGGCGTTATCATCTTCCATTGAGATTGTACATGTGTTAGTTTTTCTTTGTCAGTTAGTCAGATTTTGCTTTATATATTTTGCACTTAAATTTGGACATATGTTTTTAAGTAAATCAAACCTCTTACAATATCTCTCTAGTGACATGAAGTGCTTCAATTTATCTCTAGAAATGCTTTTTTGGCTTTTATTATTTTTCTTTGTCTAATATTAGTATAACAATTCCAGCTTTCTTTTAGCTTATGTTTGCATGGTGTATATATTTTTCCATCTTGTTATTTCCTGATTCATTAGATGTGCCTCCTATTATTTTGCAGTTTAAAAAATCTAGCCTTTAAGCATAATGGTGCACATCTGTAGTTGCAGCTACACAGTAGGCAAATATAGGATGATTGCAGTTTGAAGCTGGCTCCAGGCAAAAACAAGACCCTACCTGAAAATAAACTAAATCATAAAGGCTAGGGGTGTGGTTCAAGTGGTAAGAGTGTGCCTGCCTAGCTTAAAGTACTTGAATTTTATTTAAAGCATTTATTGCATTGTTATTTAAGAAAATTACTAACCTTTTGGAGTTTAAAACTGTGATCTTATTACTTGGGGTTTTTTATTCTCCCCCCTTTCTCTGTACTTTTTCTCTCTCATATCTTGACTTCTCTGGAATTGCTTGATTAATTTTTGACATCCCATTTGTCCTTCATGTTCTAAGTTCTTTTTTCTCCCTTGTCTTTTTGTGTGGATTGATAATATTTCAGATCCCATTCCCTCTACTGATACACAAATGGCATAAAATAAAGCACACATATTTAAAGTTTATCATTTCATGCATTTTGATATATGTACATACCTATCAAACCAGCATCAGGACTAAATGTACATACACACACGTATGTTTTATCCTCCATCTGTCTTTAGACAACCACTGATTTACTTAATTACTGCAGATGATTTGCATCCTCTTGCATATTATGTGTATGTGTGTATCTTATCTTGTCTAGCTTCTTTTACTAAGCATGAGTTTGAAATTTATCCACATTTATTCATATTGTCTGGGCTTGGGATGTAGCTTAATGGTAGAGTGCTTGCCTAGCATACCCAAGGCCCT